TCATTAAGCAAACTTTTTGTCGAAATCGATAAAGAACCATTCGGTAAAATATACGGGACATTTATTCGTTCACATGTCGAATATGGAGTTCAGACGTGGCGCCCATGGCTGCAAAAGGACTACCAGCTGCTGGAAAGAGTACAAAGGGGGGCCTAACGTTCTCATCATACGAATGTAGACTAGAAGCACTTAACCTTTTTCCTCTTGAGTACAGGCAAATCCGAGATGATCTCATACAGACGTACAACATTGTGAGGAATCGGCACTGTGCCTTTCAGTTTGATGACTTCGTCGCATTTGCCACATTAACTAACCTCCGTGGGAATTCTTTCAAACTCCGGGGAAACTTAACCCATCTGGATGTCCACAGACATTCGTTCGCACAACGAGTCATCGATTCCTGGAACGGACTGCCCGAGGAGGTCATAATTGCGAACGCCACAGATGCATTCAAATGCAAACTGGATGTATATTTACCTAACAGATACCATATATATGCACAATAAAGCATTTTCAGTAGTCACCTACGCATTGGTCATACCTACAGCTAAAATTTGTACATGTATATATGTAACTAACTATTTTATAGTAACATATTTTATTTTGGATATTTTATGCATACTGTTTTTAACAGGGGCTTCAAAGGTATTGCCTACTGCCCTAAATATACTGAACCAAATACCATATGAAATTTCAATCGAATTTCTTCAACGTGTTTTCGATTCAAACAAATCGCTTAAGTAGGGTTTTAACATCGATTAGGATGCAGTCTAACCCCGAAAGATTTCGGTCAAGCCCAGATGCCATCTTTTTAACGAGCATTTTTCTGACCGCTTGCAAATAGCGTGCGCTGTAAACAATGGCTACTTGAGTACTGTTGTTCGTGCGGATTTTTCATATCGTTATATTTTCGAATATACTTTATAGAAAAGGTACACAAAAGTATTCTTTATTGTATTCATTTTTTTAGTAAATTACACCTTCGTATTTTATCTTAAAAGAAAGGCTTTTAGGCTTAAAGAACATTCTAATTTTTCGAATAATGTCGGAGTTCTCCGGCCACCAACCTTACATTTAGCGGTTCCAAACTATGTACTGCATACCGTCTGTCTAGGGAAAATCACATATTACCCTAGACTATGAGGAAGAAGTCACACACTAGTCATAGAATTTCGTAATTTTGTACATCATGTTTTTTATCCTATAGGCACCACGGATACGATGCATTATAGATGGCCATTTCAAAGTCATACAAAATCTCATAATTAAAAACTCTTTACAATCAAAAGCTATCCTTTGTTCGAGTACAAAATTTAAAGAAGTCATAATTTGCTAAAAGACCAGTACAAGCAAGAATTGTTTCGTGCATGTTTCCTTTAAAATATATTTGAATAGATAAGCAGATTGAAAATCCATGAGCAAAACGCATGCGAATTAACTGTTTCTCACTGATTATCCCTTTTTCAGGCGGTCAGAATGAAGTGTGTTCGAAAGCCAACATCCTAGAGTGACTGAACTACTTTGAGATTAGTTCGCATGATCACCAGCATTGAGACCGTGCTTCGCTATCTTTTTTTTTGAACTGAAAACGTATTTAAGGATTTCGGCGGATAGTTTATGAGATAGGCCATCTGCTCTATAATAACAAAAACCAAATCGTTCATCAAGTGGGAGACCGAGTTTCCACAAACCTAGCTTTCCCTTAGGCAAACATGATTATGAAAATAATTTGCTGGTCGGCAAACTCTTTTTTGTGGCGGGCGTTTGAAAAAAAATGGACTTACCTCCGATAGATTGGGGATTTCCCCGTTTGCCATCATCACTGCTATGGGCTTTGAATGTTGCGAGGGTGGTTCCGGAATAACTTGCGCTTGCTGAATTAAGTTCGGGGGCAACAGTTGGCAGTACGCTGCCGACAGTTTGATAGCAGTTTCTATGGGCAGAAAAAAGTACTGCAAATTCCACTAGTAGGAGGTCTTGACAGAAATCGCGCCCCTCCCCAAATGAAAACTTGAAAGGATGTGGTTACGAAGTCATGGCAATTCAAGCCACCAGACATAACTAATTTTGTGCTATCGGGTGGCCATACTGCACCCTGAACACTGAGTTTACACGTAGATGTGCGTGCTGTTGAACCTGATACTGTTAAGAGCCGCCCTTACCGACTCGCTCGCACGCAAAACTATCGATATACCCACATGCAATGCATACGATGACGCGCAAGCTGCCAATCAGGGGTAAAACACTACCTTGACAGTCGGAGTAGCCAGAAAGCCAGTCGAGCTGTTACCCACTTGAGGACAGTATTTGATTGGTCCAATTGTAGGCCTACCTTGTACACTTTTGTACATGCCTTATTTGCCTTTAAAAGGTACGCTGCCAGAATGCAGCAATAAACTTCCATACCGTCACCCTTGCTGTCTAGACCTCCCTTGGGGATTCGATCACAGCGTTGTTTGACGGCGAACATCGTGGCTTGTGGCAAGGTTGTGACAGAACCCTCGTTCTTACTGCTCCCCATTCGCATGTAATTTGCCCTATTGCGTCCATTCTTAACTAGATGTTACCCCTAGCTGTATACCCGACCTACAACAACAAGGTTATTAGCGTACCACGCTAGGATCATTTTGTGGAAAGTCTAATTTTGCCTAAATTTTGCGGCGATTCATTATAACGTTGGCAATCACATTATTCGGTCAGTATCAGTTTATTGAGGGAAAGATAGGCGAACGCCTTTGAACTCCCTATTGGCAGAAAAATGATAGGAAATAAATGAAGACAAAAAAAAAATGTTAAAAGTACGTCAAGTACATGTTTCGGGAAGACACCACAGTTGTTAGCTAGTCGAAATCGTAACAAGATATGACAACTCGCTAATCACGAGTAGTAAAATGTGATGCAGTGTTTTTTTTACATGGTTTGTATATGGGTTTATCCTTGATGAATGTCCAGTCTACTCGTAAATGAATTTAAAAAGGTGGAGAGGACAACGTCTTCGGAAAGGGCATTCCGCTATGCCTTAGGCAGTATCATTATGCATTGCTTATGATATTCCGGTGTTATGCAGTTTGAGTGCCAAATTTGATTGATGGTGAATGTAAGACGTCTTTGCTGAAAATTTTGGAATGATATTTTCAAAATAAAGCATACCTCTCTCCCTTTCCCTTAAGCCTATATGTGTTGCTGCGATCGCAAACTCTACCTATGGATTAACTGTCAACGTAATGCCTTTTTGGGCTATTGAATTGTTTCTATGAACTAGGATTGTTAAGGCCCCTCGTTTTACCTGGTACCCTTCTAACTCAGAGACGTGCAGCACGAAACTGGGGAAATTTAGCATGTCAGAAACAAAAACACTCCTGATGCACATAACTTACTTTCTGTTGAGGGACGAGGTACGGATTCTGGAAAGAGAGTCTGAAATGAAGGACAGGATTGAGGATCCTAGACAAG